AACTACACTAAACCATGTGCTTTGATGCTCGTCTCTTTATTACACACATGCGCACTCGCACGCTTGCAAACCTAACAGGGGTGGGGTGGGTAAATCCACCAACACTACACATCCTACACATCCTCTTTAAGTAAAGTCTTTATTATATTATTATTATTATTATTATAACAACCATATGAAATAAGAACTGAGAGCTCAGATTTTTTCTGAGTTCTTACATTTCATGTGGTTGTTGGAGAATAATTTCTTTCATGACAAATACTACCTTGAAGTCAGGTCTTATTATAACCAATGGCACTTTAATCTGTGGCCATCTCTTGTTCTCAGGAATTGCAGTGTTTGACATCCACAAGACCAAAATCTGAAACAAAAATAACATAACAGAGCTAAATAAAATAATTAAATAAATTCAAGAATCAAGGATAAATGCTCTCACAGACTCCTAATGCAGAGGATAACAAAAAAGCCAGCTCAAAAATTCATAAAATAGATTATGCTAAAATATCTCAGTAACTGACAGTTACTATTGCAACCAATTTCAAGCAACTGTGCCTGAAATAACCTCTGGACTGATCAACACTTGGGCCAGGGCAAACTCACAGACTGAACTGTAATTTAGCTTGTTGGTGTTGCAGAGGTGGGTAAACTGGGGAAGCCATGGAAAACCCTCAAATTGATGGAGAGACCTGACAAAYTTAATACGCTTGAAAACACAGAGGTGAGAGGCAAGTGTACCATGCCACAATCGATGCTCTCAAATGAAAATATATAGTATCTACAGGTATTCACCATCAACACTGATAAATTACAATAAACTCACCATTGCAACATTTTTAGATTCTGCAACACGTTGAATTAGTCTATAGAGAGGAGAAGATTCTTTGATTTCAGGCAACGATGTATAAATAACAGCAGTAAATGCACTCTTTTCTTTGCATTGCTTTGAATTGTAGAAAGGAAAGTCATCAAGATTTCTTGAGTAGGATGAAGAGACAACAAGAGCTCCTGGATAATTATTCCACATGGCGTAGCCTGCCGCTTTACTTTTTAATATTCTTGACCTAATGACCTGGAGCAATGCAAACAATTTTAAAGATTATTACACATATGACAATAAAATACTAAGTGCTACTTCTTAATATTAATTGGACACCCTTTATTAAATAGAGATTCCAGCTGAGCGAAGAATACAGCGCTCAAGGCATGAGTGGACAAAATGACTGGCCCTAAGCATAAAAGAAGCTTGAAACAACGAAGCAAACTGACTGTTAAGTGAAATGGTTTTATTCTTCCTTTCAATATTTCTGCTTCTTGTTGGTATATGTATATTATATTTTAGTCAATTTAAGAAAACAGAAAAATATACAAGTTGGGATAAAGTAGCCTGGGAATGAGGACCAGCAGCCAAACACCTAAACGCCCTATGATTTCCAATCTTACCCCCCCCCCCCCACTTTTTTCCCCATACTTGTCTCTTATACAAGGTCATAAATATATGTAGATGGAACGTTCTTACCTCTAACGCAGTAAAAACAATTTTTTCGACTGAAGAAAAATATGCATTCCACAAAAACAGTGCTTGTTGTTTCATTGCGAGTACTTGACTTTTACTGTAGGATCTAACAATCCCAGGAAYCTGCATCAATAGCTTCTCGTCACCATTTATTAATGCTTTTTTCCAGTTTATTACTTCATCAAATGGTAGTTGCCAGCCATCGCTAAGTAGGACAGGGATACATCCAGCTTGTAAAGCTTCTAAAAACCGAAATGAGCCAAGACGTCTGCCCCTTGGCACTAGACAAAAAGTTGCGTTTTGTAATAATTCTTCATAGGAGTACCTAAGAACAAAAYAACACATCAAATTGGTTATGCTTATTATATTTATTAATAGCAATCGTAAAGTGTAAAACATCGTAAAGTGTTAAATGACAATAGCATATGTTAGCGCCATATAATGGGCTGCTTAGAAATTTAGCTCTTTATGTCTTTGTAGAAGAGCCTTCTCTAATGCGGCTCCTGAATTATGGAACAATCTACCACAGAACATTAGATCTTCTATTTCAATATCACAGTTCAAGCAAAGGGTTAAAACCTGGCTTTTTTTAGTTTTTTTTAGATATCTATGTTTTTACTTTTCAACGAACTTTAATAATGATTATTATTATATATAATAGCCAATTAATGTTGAAAGTTATTTCAATCATTGATTCATAATTTTATATAAAAAAAGTCTATCAAATGTGTATGTATTTATAAAGTTGTTTCTAATAATTGTTTAAAGATTTTAATGTATACCACTTAACCACACTAAATATCTATATAGTTATACTTTTATATGTTTTATCAGATCTTTTTGTAAAGCGCTGTCAGAACCATGGGGATATTAGCGCTATATAAATCATAATTTATTATCATTATTATTATAAAAACACACATTGGAATATACTTAAAAGGGATTAGAAATCCAATACTAAATATTACATTCCATGCTGCTCTTATGATCCTCAGTAATATGTGATACAATTATCATTATGCAGTATACTGTACTTTTAGTGTCAGTAACAGCTATGTTGTAAAGTAAGGTAGCTTTATAGATTAACATAAATGGCAAATATATTACATATTCTATAATATTTCTTAAGGTGATTCCATCTAAACTAGAATAATCCTAAAAGCTCAGAAGCTCGAAATTTCTTTAATGAAATAAGCTTTAGATAGGTCTACATATATCAGTATCTAGTCAAGGAAACATTTGAATGAAATATTCATTTATAAAAATATTTATTAAAAACTAAAACATTTTATGGAAGTCTGAAACAACCTCTAGGCTGATCTAAGTCAGGAAACAGCTGTGAGCTGTGGCTGATCAAAGTCATGGCATTGCTAACTCACAGATGGAATCTTAAACAAAATAACTTTTGCACTAATCCAAGTCAGGGGATGGCTATCTAACTCACAGATGGAACACTGAAACAACTTCTGCACTGATCTAAGTCAGGGAATGGCTAACTCACAGATGGAACGCTGAAACAACTTCTGCACTGATCTAAGTCAGAGAATGGCTAATCACTAATCAAATTGGCATTGAGCAAATTTACATTAATAAAAACAATGTCTCTCACCCACAGGAAGGCTTAACCCACTCTGGCAATCTTCTATCAACTTAGGGATCTGCTAGCTTTGTTAAAAAGCAGAAACAAAGCAATTAATTAAGTTATGGAAAGAATAGCAGCAGGACCGGAACTACTGTAGTATACAATCTCCTGGAATAAAGTCTAATACTTGACCAACTGAGCCAACTGGCTGGCAGTTAATTTTATGTGTGTGTAAAATTACCACATGCCAACCTTTTTGGTGTATCTACCTCTAGAGTTCAAACCAGACGGTCATCATACAACAATGACACAAAGCCAAGCAAAACAGAAGTACTAATAAGATTAAGTATTTTAGAATTAAGCTACATGCATTCAGATCAAAAATGATGCTTAAACACATCAATATATTATACAGTATGTTATAAACTAGTTTTTCAAACTCATGAATAATTCATTAGGAAAACACAACAGAAATCACGACCGTGAAGAGTGTTGTAAATCTGATACAAAACTGTGTTCATTTGCATAAACTTTAAGTTGTATTTTCTTGGCCAAATTCACTTTAATTTTGAAAATTTTAGTGAAACACAAAGGTACTAACCTAGACGTTTGATAAGTCATATACAGTATTCGTGTCCGTGTTGTATCAGATATACAATCACTCGGCTACGCCTCGTGGTTGTATATCTGATACAACACTGCCACTCATACTGTATTATATTACTTATTGGACCTAAGAACTCCAATTTCGAGAATAAATATTATAATAAATCAAAAATTTAAGATAAGAAAAGATTTAGTGACATTATTCCAGCATAAGGAAGAACAAGATCACAGCATGTAGAAATGATAAAAATTAACACATTGCGCTATTCTGATATATATTTCCATAGATTGTTTGTTATTTTATGCAAATACTAGACAGTAACTGATTCAAAAATAGCTACAAAATATAATGAACTACATGCTAAATTTATTTTGTTGATAAATATAACTTTGAAACAGGAAAGCATGCATTTATGTGACAAATTATCCCCTTGGTAATGTTTACCTTTTGATATCCAAAAGCTAGTTTATTTTATAAGGCATAAGGTACATTATAAGCCCTTAGAAAAAGTATATTTTCATTTTACATAATCCCTATTAGAAAAAATTCAAACGTTTCAAATGTTGAATTTGAAAAAAAACCTTTATCTAATTCAAAATCAAAAGTTGATTCAGGCATTTCATAAATTACATACAATGTTTTATCAGTGAATTTGCATTTTGAAATTTGTATTATCAGGAATTCAATCTCAATAGTTTCACGACAGGATTAGGGGCTTATGTAAGCTTCTAATAGCAAGAAACCTCCTTCATAAAGGACGGGGTTTAAAGCAGTGTATAGCCATTCCCTGTGTTAACACCTCACCTAAAAATTACTAGAACATAACCTCAATTAAACAATCCAAAAGGATAACCACAAATAAATAATCAATTCTAGAGGGGGGAAAAGAATAAAGAAGGGCTTAAAACATTTCTTAAGTTAAGCCAGACGTCGTTTATATGAACCAAATCATTTACCTCACACAGGATTTATCTTAACCATTTTAGTCTAGATCGCTGAAGATTTATCTCGAAATGGTCGTTTTGTTGAATAATATCTTAAAGGCCTTGGGAACGGTGTGAAAAAAAAGGAGTTTTGTCGCACCTATTCAGTTTCTATGGCAAAACATTTGAATAAGAATAATTACATCACTCTGATAGAACTGGCTGTGTAGAAATTAAAGCTGGGAGCTACAATATCAAAGTATAATTCCATATCAGACAATCACTATCGTTAATGAATTTATATACAATTACTAAAAGAAAACTCGAATTTGCTCTAAGGTTCCAAAAACGACAAATCATCAACGATCGAACGGATTTTTGACATCAATTCATGTTTATTTCACACCTAGTTCATATRTCAAGGAAATCTACACGCAAGAAATGTAAAATAAATATCTTGACTCGATCGGGATAATTTGTCGATCTAGAGTAAGGAATAAGTTTTAGTATTATGATATGGGGTGTTAATACACAACAATAGCCATTAGCTACATACTGTACGCTAATGAATTACCAGATTGTACTTACTTGTCATACTCAGCGTTGTCTCGATCACATCGTTCGTCCTTATGTTTGGCCCAGTTTTTGCCATGCTTGCATGTTGTCAATAGTACTATGTCTTTAGCGTTGTGTATATGGTATAAAGCATTTCTAGACTCGCTTCCGATTCCATGGAGATAACGCTTTCCTTTAAACGCTAGTTTGTATTTTCTCTCAAGGGGGAAGACACTTGCTGAATTAGGCAAATTTCCCCCATTCTTGTATGGATGAGTTTTAGGTAGAAGCGGTAAGCTGATATCATAACCTGGTCTAAGTGTACTCGACGACAAAGATGCTTTAGCTAAAATTGCCTTTTCAACGTCGAACCCTAAATCTTCCACGTAATCAGGCCATGTCCCAGAAAAGAAATTCAAAATTACATGATTTGTTCCGGAATTCCAGTACGGTAACGAACGAATTTTCTCACCAACTTTCCTAACATAGTCAGGACTTATCCGATCTCGATCGAGACTATCTACACTTGGAATAAATAGGCAAGCTTCGGATGGATTTTCTGTGTAGAAGCTACTCTCTTTTATGACTTTTAAAATCTTTGCAAATAATGGACAAAGTTTTTCGCCAGGGCGGATAGGATAGACGTAAACCTTGAAGTCTTTCAAGCACTTGGTTCTATCAAAGCATGTCTCCATTCTGCACTTCTTGGTCTCAGATGAAAGAGTCCGAAACTTCTTACGATCCATTGGGGAAGATAACACATCGTACAGTTTATATTCATCATCATGAGTCATAAAATCAGGCTTCAAAAGTTGTTGTTGTAGGTTTTCGAGGTTGACATTTGAAGAACGTGTTAGCTTAGAGCCAGTGAAGATTCTAAACGCTACGAAAATACAACAGCCGATTAATCCGACAATAATAATCAAAGAATATCTCTTCTTTGCGTTCATGGACGTCCTTCAGGTCTGGAGACATCTATCCAGCTATACCTCATTCACAGAGAAGGATAAAAGCTAGGGGAAAGTCGTGGAAAAAGGACGAGAATGGTTAGAAGCGCCTTTTGCTTGATCCATGTAAGTGTCAACTGGAAATGATTGTATTTGCCGCATGCCAAGATGACGTCACATTTTACCGGAAGTGGGAGAGTCTTAGACCGGAAGCTATTAACACATACTATATCCTATCTTTGTTTTTTTGCAGTCAGTACAATAACTGAGGTCACCGAGCTTACTCATAAGGGAATAGTAAACTTAGGAACATTAGAAACAAAATAGAGGCAGGAAGGAAAGCTCAATCACAACTTTGATGCTTTGAAGAGCGTGCATAATTTATGAACTTGGGGGTTGGGTGGATGTTGATATAAAGTACGCCTTTGGTGGCGACCCTGCAACTACCCTTCTTTACCCACTTTACCCTCCTAACTCTTTTTTGGGTTCCTGTGGACGCAAGTAGCACCGCGCTTACTATGCTCCAATCTCCTCACGCGTCCACAGGAATCCCAAAACACTCGTTTTTACTGAGGGAAAAGCGGGACCGCTATCTAACAGTCTATTACCCTGCACAAAACTAACGAATGTTTCCAACCCCCATTTTCCCTGAAAAGACCGGCAGAATATCAAATGAGTATGATACACATGACTGCTTTATATTTCTTGGAATTTTTCTTGGAATTTTTCTTAGAAATATTCTTTTATAGTTCTGCGTGTAAAATGTAGATGTTGCCATATTTGCATCAAAGATAACTGTAATGGTCAACTGCAATAATAATAATAATAATAATGATGATGATGATGATGATGATAATAACAATAATAATAATAATAATGATAACTTTATTGAAAGTATCTATGGATTTAGCAGTTAAAACTAATTGAGGACACTAACTAAAACTAAATGAAATGAATTAAGATATATTAATTGTCGATAAAATTTTATATAGCTGTTTCGTTTAGGGCTTTCTTTCCAGACCTATGGTCGTTTCCGTGAAAACCAGCATTGAAACGAAGGAGGGAAGAAATACAAAGAAAGAAGAAGGAAGCGCTCGTGACTGGAAAAAAGGAAAAAAGAAAATTAACTTAATCACGAAAAAAAAGAAGGGCAATATAAATTAAACTATCTTTTGTACTGTCTTCGATTATATTGAGCAAGCAAGACGCCCTACAGGCGTTCACTGGGTTGCCTGATCATACACAGAGGCCTAGGACAACTGAAGTAGTTTATGTTAGCCAAAATTAAAGATAATGGAATGTTTCAAAGAAAAGAACAATTTCGTTTAACTCGTCTAAGTTGATCTTCTCCCTTAAGGTTTTCTCTACATAATGCCTCAAAATAATTGCAGGTTCTCGGCCCTTTTTTAGGCTATGAAATAAACAGTTTTGCGTTATGCATGTCACACTACTTGTGAATTTGATCTTATATTCTCAGACAGAATCACCAATTCATTTTCTTATATTCTTACAATCCTTTGTTATTATGTAAATTACTGGGGTAGCTGTTTATTTTCCTTGTCAGGCAGAAATTGCGCAATAGTATCCAGAAGTCTTCACTGTACCACCCACTAGTCCTTTGCGGGCATATGATATAGAGAGCCAAGTGCAGTAAATGTTCTTGTCAGCAAACTTTGCCAGGAAATAGGAAAGGATAGCTCTACTTTTCGCGGATTGATATAGCTTATGTGACTGATAGAACGTCTGATCGAACTTATACAGTCTTATAAGCAACCGACTATAGGAATAAATCTTTTTTCACTAAAACGATTCATTATAAGCTTATTGTTGAAGATTTAAATCTGATAAAACTATGAACTAAAAAATAAATAAATAATATTATAAGATGAGTTTCGAACACACGATAAGATAAGATTTTTTAACCCACCAAAAGAAATTCAAAAAAAAAAACAAAAAACAAAACGATTCCACTGTGCCATACCCCCGAGACATCCGCAGAGCTGGGGCGTCGTATGGACTTCGGACCTGACGGCGATTAAATCCTTCTGCCCTTGGGTGTACGAATTACGCAAGAAAATGTTCTAGCCGAAGCATCAGG